TTATTAAATTTGCTTGCACTGCGCAGAACAAATTCAGGGCCTTTTTCTAATGCCAGAGCTCTTCAGCAGGGCTCTGGGCATTGAACCAACATGCTCACTTAGAGAGGGGGCGTGTTGTCATTAGTGATGACAAAACACACACACTCTGGCCCCCGCCCCCTTCTTAGGGGGCCGCTCTGATTGAAAAATGCCCAGGCCTAATTTTTTTCCCAGTCCGGCCCTGTACCAAGTGTAGTGGTAATAAGCATTTTTTCTGCGTTTTTGACACACAAAGTGAGTTTGCACAGTATATTTTGCAAACCTTATGTGTGCTACGTCTGTATAATACTACATATGTTGCTCAGCTATGTCATCTGAGTACAGCAATACCCCCCATATGTACCTTTGCCAGGTATATGTGGATGTTGAAGGGGCACATTTGAGACGCAGCCATTCAGTTTTTTTCTAACCTTGAAGTTTTACCTTGTGTCCATGTTCCATTTTGGAGTAGTTTAGCTGGTTGGTTATTCAAATTTCCCCACAAACACATACTATTTATTAAAGAATACACCCTGGGGTAATTCAAAAGGATTATTTTTTTCTCTGGTTTGTTCCAGGTGTAGTGGTAATGAGCATTTTTAAATTTATTTTTTTTACTTTTTAAAACACGTTTTTAAATTTTTATTTTGCTTATTACATTTTTTAAACTTTCTTAAAACTTTTTTTACACATTTAACATTTTTATAAACTTTGTTTTTACCGTTAACCCCTAACTAGCAGTAAGCAGCACTAACAGTAAATTCCCCAATTTCCGATAACACCCACCCCAGCTAGCAAAATATATCATTTTAAAATATTTAAATGAATTAATTAAATAAATTGAACCCATGAGGCTAATTGCCTTGAGTGAAAGCATCTTGTAGGTGGCCACACCAACCTGTTCCACTTGTATACGTGGTGAGATACATCCAGTTCACCTCCTCCAACGGGAAGCCCAAATCAAGGTTTTCCTGTAATGGCCACTTCTTCCAATTTTCCTTTAGGTACTCTGGAATAATGATCATTTGGTTCCATTTCTTCTGAGACCTGATAAAATTGACCCAGATGTACTACTTGAGTCAAGTGGAGGTGCCATTGCACCCATTTCACTAATCCAATGATTTTCCTGTCTTCTAAAAAATTCCATTGCATCATTTATTGTAGCTAAATAAGCGGCCAGAAAATGTATATCTCTGGTGGGAATTAGCTAGCTTCTGGAGAAGTTGACAATTCATCTGAAATCCCTAAGGAGACTTTTTCCAGATGAGAGATTAGAACTTCTTTGTTTGCAGCTGCTATGTGAACATCATCTAGGTAATGGAATATACTTACAAGAGTCCTTATGTAGGTGATTAAAGTTAGCAGAACCTTGGAGAAAGTGCGAGGTGCCGTGCTTAGGCCAAAGGGTAGACTGCAAAACTGAAAATGTTCTTGCAAGACAGCGAATCTGAGAAAACTCTGATATTTTTCCAAAGTGGGTGGCAGTAAGCTTCTTTCAGGTCTATCGAGACAATCCAATCCCCTTGATGAGTTGCTTGTGCAACAGACTTGAGAGATTATATTCTGAATCTTCTCATATACAACAGGAGTAGTCCCAGAAGATTGGAAGTTAGCAAATGTTGTGCCCATTCACAAGAGAGGTAATAGGGAGGAGTCGGGCAACTATAGGCCAGTAAGCCTTACTTCAGTAGTGGGGAAAGTGATGGAAACCATGTTAAAGGATAGGATTGTTGAACATCTAAAAACACATGGATTTCAAGATCAGAGACAACATGGGTTGTCTCAGGGAGATCATGCCAAACTAATCTTATTGATTTTTTTTTGATTGGGTAACTAAAATAATAGATCAGGGTGGTGTAGTAGACATTGCTTACCTAGATTTCAGTAAGGCATTTGACACTGTTGCACATAGAAGGCTTATCAATAAACTGCAATCTTTAAGTTTGGATTCCAATATTGTTGAATGGGTAAGGCAGTGGCTGAGTGACAGGCAACAGAGGGTTGTAGTCAATGGAATATATTCGAAGCTTGGACTTATCACCAGTGGGGTGCATCAGGGATCTGTACTTGGACCCATTATCTTTAATATTTTTATTAATGATATTGCAGAAGGTCTTGATGGTAAGGTATGTCTTTTTGCTGATGATACTAAGATATGTAACAGGGTTGATGTTCCAGGAGGGATAAGCCAAATGGCAAATGATTTAGGTAAACTAGAAAAATGGTCAGAATTGTGGCAACTGACATTTAATGTGGATAAGTGCAAGATAATGCATCTTGGACGTAAAAACCCAAGGGCAGACTACAGAATATTTGATAAAGTCCTAACCTCAACATCTGACGAAAGGGATTTAGGGGTGATTATTTCTGATGACTTAAAGGTAGGCAGACAATGTAATGGAGCAGCAGGAAATGCTAGCAGAATGCTTGGTTGTATAGGGAGAGGTATTAGCAGTAGAAAGAGGGAAGTGCTCATGCCATTGTACAGAACACTGGTGAGACCTCACTTGGAGTATTGTACACAGTACTGGAGACCGTATCTTCAGAAGGATATTGATACCTTAGAGAGGGTTCAGAGAAGGGCTACTAAACTGGTTCATGGATTGCGGGATAAAACTTACCAGGAAAGGTTAAAGGATCTTAACATGTATAGCTTGGAGGAAAGACGAGACAGGGGGGATATGATAGAAACATTTAAATATATAAAGGGAATCAACACAGTAAAGGAGGAGACTATATTTAAAAGAAGAAAAACTACCACAACAAGAGGACATAGTCTTAAATTAGAGGGACAAAGGTTTAAAAATAATATCAGGAAGTATTACTTTACTGAGAGGGTAGTGGATGCATGGAATAGCCTTCCAGCTGAAGTGGTAGAGGTTAACACAATAAAGGAGTTTAAGCATGCGTGGGATAGGCATAAGGCTATCCTAACTATAAGATAAGGCCAGGGACTAATGAATGTATTTAGAAAATTGGGCAGACTAGATGGGCCGAATGGTTCTTATCTGCCGTCACATTCTATGTTCTATGTTACAATCTTTTGACAGGTGGTGCCCAGAAGGCAGTAGTGAGCCAAAAGCGAGGTACAAATTAGGGATGAGAGAATCTCATAGTCAGGGTAAGCCAAGGTCGGGAGCAGGCAGCGCAGGTTCAGGAACTTATAAAAGCACAGTATAACTGTGGTAGGGGTAGGCTCAGGTAATATATAATAATTAAGCCCTTTAAACAATTTCAGGTGTTCTGTCCCTTTAAGAGACCTTCTATTGGGGCGCGCGCCTACCGTAAGTGGAATTCACATGTGGGTTCGGCTAGGGCTTCCCGTGGGTCGCGGCGTGGTGTGGAGAGCTGCGACATAGCATCTATGTGCTGCAGGGATGCTGGCTGACTGTGCCTGTAGCTGGGCACGCTGGAGTCCTCGGTGTACACCAAGAGGAAACTGCCGCAGCCATGGACGGAGACGTGGCGAGGGACCTCCAGGTAAGTGCTGTCATGACAGTGTCTTCCTCTAAGTCGGATCAATTTTTTCAGAGCTCTTGAGACCACCGTTAAAGCTGCTGCTTTTTTACATGCTGCCCCTGCTGATAAATAGAATTTAATCAAATTTACAGCCAGGGCCGGACTGGCCCACCGGGATACCGGGAAATTTCCCAGTGGGCCGGTACACTAGGGGGCCGGTGCACGGCTGCCTAGTGTGCACCAGCCCGGGCCGCAATTACAAGGTGAGTGGAAGGAGAGGATGTGCTCCCCTCCTGCCGGTCACAGAGTGTAGCGTGGCCGAGCAGGCAGACCGCGGTAGGAGAGCTTCTGTTCCCCTACCCGGTCTGACAGGAACCTGCAAGCGAGAACGCTCCTCCCACGAGCAGGCAGGTTGGAGCGTTGCCGTGCGTTTCCATGGCAACGCTACGACCTGCCTGCTGTTCTCGCGGGAGGAGTGAGAAGTCAGCCTGCGGTCAGAGGAGCTGCAGGCTGAACAGCACGCGCCACCACTGTGTGTGTGCGTATTCAGCAGTCTGTCTGTGTGTGTAAGTATTGAATTTGTTGGAGGTACCAATAAATATAAGCCTCATTTTATTGATAATTTTATATTTTTATTCCTTTGATTGGTTGCGTAGTCAGGGCCCCAGTGCATTGGTTTGCCGAGTGGACTATTATGCTGTTATGATGGCCCTGGTCTAGGGTATGTGTGTGCTCTGATGATCATGCTCCTACAAAATGTAAATGAAAAGACACTAATTTGAGTACCAGGAATGGGATGAGCTGTAACAGCCACTTCTGGCCAAGAAGAAATTAAAGACTTATGTATTTCTCTGTTTTGTTTTGTTTTTTTAGCGATTTTTGTATCGCTAATGGGTGTCCCATTTTTATATTTTCAAAATCTGGTCACCCTAGACACATGAATATATATGTATAAATGTAGACCACCCAGGTGCAGCAGAAAAGATCTTCAATAAAGGTAATCACTTCCCTTATAAATCATGTAGTAACAAGAGGGTTCCTCAAAGGTCCTCAAAATGCAAATATAAAATATAAGATACACCTAAAAAATCAGGACAGAGAGAGATTCATAGTGCAACACTATAAAATCAAAGATGTGGTCCCTGTAAGTAAATATTGCACTCACAAGATGTTGGAATGTTAAAAGCCCATCAGAATGTCTTTCAATATTCAGCCACCAACGTCCTCAGAATCCCAGGGTACATATTAAAAGGAAAAAACTCGACATAGTATAATAATGCTTAAATATTAAATGACACTTTAATTGAATACACTTACAAAAAGTGGAAGATAAAAAAGCTCATCAATAAGTCTCTGTGTCAGTCGATTTCAGCTGGATGAGAGACCCAAAATAAGCCTTGGTGTATAGCTCAACGCGTTTCGTCTCCCAAATGGAGACTTCCTCAGGAGTAAATGAAGTAAAATACAATAAAATATAATAATACAATGACAAAAAATAAAATGAAGCATCACATTATATCAGAGTCCAGAGTTCCTTTTAAAGGTCTTCTTATCATTCGTTCCCCCAATCAGGGACGCCGGAATCACCTGTTCCTGGTTGCCTCGTCTGTTCGTTACCAAATAAGGACTTCCACCAGCCGGCGGTCCGCGATGACGTCATCAATCAGCGTGTGGAACGCATATGCGTTCCACTTCAAGCAATCTCGAAAACAGAAAGAAAATGCTGAGAAAGTACACCCAAATACTTAATATGTATGAAATCCATCAGATATAAATTAAGTATACACATTGATCGATACACATAAATGAGTGCTATCAAAACACATAAATCAATACACATTGAGTGCTATTAACAGAGGGAGAAAAATTGATGGAATCACAAGCTGTAATCCCAAATAATGATATAAAGAAAAAAGAGAAAAAAGATACATAAAAAATTAATAATAATAATAATAAAAATAGAGATAAAAATAAAGATGAATAAGAGTGAAAATAAATAAAGATAAATATGAAAATAAATATAAATATAAAAATAAAATAAAAATGAATAAATTAATAAGAATAAAAATAATAATAATGGAAATAAAAATAAAAATTACAGCTTGTGATTCCATCAATTTTTCTCCCTCTGTTAATAGCACTTTTTAGGTGTATCTTATATTTTATACACCCTAGACACATGGAAGGTTGGGAGGGGGCATAGGGACACATGGAGGGTTGGGATAGCTATAGGGACACATGGAGGACTGTGAGAGAGGGCTAATAGGACACATGAAGGGCTGTAGGGCTATTGGGACACATGTAGGGGCTACTGAGGGCTGTGAGGGCTGTGAGGTAACGAGACACATGGAGGGGCTGGGGAGTAAAAAATACACAAGGAGGTGTGTGGGAAAGAGACAGACGGATTGGGAAAGGGGAACAGGAGACACACAGAGGAGCTGAGGAAGGGGAGTGGGGAAGGAGAGAATGAGACAAACAGAGGAGCTGTGGGGAAAGATACAAATAGAGGTGATGGGGCCTGGGAAAGAGACAACGGGGCTGGGACTGAGAGACATGTGAAAGAGGATTGGGGGAGAAAGACAAACAAACTTCACTTGTGTCTCCTGCTCTCCCTGTAACTCAAAGTCGGCTGGTAAGAGAAAGACGTTATATTAAAGGGACACTATAGTCACCAGAACTACTACAGTTTAATGTATTGCTTATGGTGTCTATAGCCTGTCTCTGTAGGCTGAGCACTGTAAATGCTACCTTTTCATACAAAAGGCAGTGTTTACATTGCTGCCTAGGCACATCTCTAGTGACAGTCACTCAGACGACCACTAGAGATGCTTTCTAGTCCAGTGCTGCACAGTGTGCAGCACCTATGTTGAGCATCTACACTATCTGCATGGAGGTCCTGAATGCTCCCCGTAGAGATGCAATGATGCAATGTATCTCTATGAGAAGATGCTGATTGGTGCGGTGAAGCACAGCGTTTTGCCACACATACGCAATAGCCTCCCAATGCTTTCCTATGGGAGATCATCCAGTTGTCGGCCAAAGTGAAGAGCACACTCGTTACTTCAAAATGAGCAAGATAACAATTTTTTTTACTGCTGTGCAATAGCATACATTCACAATTTCAATCCAAATGACCAAACATTTCAAGGTAGTTGGACTGAAACATGGATTATATGCAAATGCACCTCTGCGGCTGCTTACAATAAATCTGCTCTGCTTTATTTTGAAGCCCTATAAGTACTTTCTTTCATGTTTGAGTGATAGTTTTCAGTTTAAAGTTTTTTTCCCGCTTCCATATCTGCTCACTATGCTGGCGCGATGCATTACGGGGCTGGTATGGAATTTTTTTTCCAGGGCTGCTTTTCATTCCCAGTCCGGCCCTGTTTACAGCTATACTTCTGTCCATGGGATCACGAAAGGAGGTGACATTGTCTAAGGGTAAAGCGCCTTTCCTGCCAAGCTATATAATGCTGCATCTACTTTTGGTGGAGAATTCCAGAAGGCAGCATCTGACTCATGAATTGGATAAAACAAATATATTTTCCCTGTAAAGTTAACCTTCATTTCAGGTTTTTTTTAATTCCTCTATTAAAAAAAAAATGCTTAACGGCATCATGAACTGGAAAATATGTTTTTTTTTCTTACTTAATTCTGCAAATAAATTTGGAATGTCTGGATTATTAGAGGCACAGATGTCTTCCAATTTAAGGGAGTACCTTACTGCTTTCATTAGCATCTTGATCATATTCTCATCCACATTGATCATATCAGAATCCTTCTCTTGCTCTTAATCTGACAGTATTATATTTTCCTCCTGTAGTACAGGAGCCAGAGTTGAGCCAACAGTTTGCGTCTGCCACCCATTCGGTATGACCACTGCCTGCTTTTAAATATGAGCGCCGGACACCCGCAATCAGTTCTTGGCTAATCCTGTCATCGCAGAAGCCCCAGTGTCATTTTGCCAAGACTTTGCCTTTGACGGCCTGGCAACGCACATGTGCATGCACGTTTCTGCTTCTTAGTGGCATTCTGACAAGAAAGGAGTATGTGGCCTAAACGTGCACAGCAAAGTGTGTGCACACGTCCAATCACCATGGGTGACGAAGAAAGGTGAAGCAAGGTAAAAATGCTGGATTAGAGATGAGTGCTAAACGTTTTGTTGAACTATTTCAAGGGTGACACCAAGCACACCATGTATAGCAATGCCCTTATCTACCAGGGAGCTTCTCTTACATAAGTGTTTCATAGTGCGGGCTTCCAAAATGAGTTCTTAAAGGGACACTATAGTCGCCCAGACCACTTCAGCTCAATGAAGTGGTCTAGGTGCCAGGTCCCTCAGGTTTTACCCTTCAGATGCAAATATAGCTGTTTCAGAGAAACTGCTATGTTTACATTTGGGGTTAAGCCAGCCTCTAGTGGCTGTCTTCCAGACAGCCACTAGAGGTGCATCTGCGACGCTGGAGGCATATTATGCCTCCATCGGGCAGAGCGTCCACAGGAAAGCATTGAAAAATGCTTTCCTATGGACACTTTGAATGCGCGTGCGGCACTTGCTGCGCACGCGCATTTGGCTTTGCTGACGTCGGTACAGGGAGCTGACGTCCGCGGAGGAGGAGAGGTCACCAGCGCCGAGGGAGCCCAGCGCTGGATAAAGGTAAGCTGCTGAAGGGGTTTTAACCCCTTCAGCGCCACGGGAGGGGTCCCTGAGGGTGGAGGCACCCCCAGGGCACTACAGTGTCAGGAAAACCGCTTTGTTTTCCTGACACTATAGTGATCCTTTAAGTTCACATAAAGTGAATTCTCCCTGGGAAAATCTGCAGCTTTACCAGCTACTTTTAGACCAAGGGTAAATTGAACTACCATAATGTATATTTATACACACTATACATACCATTAGATAAGATGAATGCACTCACTGGAGTCCAAATAAATTGTGCTTTATAAGTTGCAAAAAAAGATGAACATTTCGAACTTACGGTCTTTATCAAGATCTTTTTTTTAAAACTTATAAATCACAATTTATTTGGAATTCAGTGAATGCGTTCATCTAATCTATTGGAATATAGTTTTAGCGTTGTTCAGTACCTTGGTATATTTTTCATTTTGTGAATTTTTGAGGTTGAGTGCCAGACTTACTGTGTGTGTATATATATATATATATATATATACATATATATATATTAGTAATGGTAGGCTGCACTCACGGATTCTTTAAAACGTAACTTTTATTTGTAATATTAAGAGCAGATCAACGTTTCAGTCCCTCTTGTGGACTTTAACAAGAGGGACTGAATATTAATATTACAAATAAAAGTTACGTTTTAAAGAATCCATGAGTGCAGCCAACCATTACTACTATTTGGATACTGGAGCCTCGGTGATGCTACCGGTCATATAACTGAAGCCTGAGTGCAAGGTACATTTGGTTTTATATATAGATATATATATATATATACAGTTGCAAGAAAAAGTATGTTAACCCTATGGAATGATATGGATTTCTGCACAAATTGGTCATAAAATGTGATCTGATCATCATTTAAGTCACAACAATAGACAATCACAGTCTGCTTAAACTAATAACACACAAAGAATGAAATGTTGCCATGTTTTTATTGAACACACCATGTAAACATTCACAGTGCAGGTGGGAAAAGTATGTGAACCCTTGGATTTAATAACTGGTTGAACCTCCTTTGGCAGCAATAA